CCCCAAAACCCCAAAACCCCAAAACCCCAAAACCCCATAATGAAGAAATTTTGCTAATTTGAAAATAGATAAAAATAATGATATAGAATAATCAGTCAAATGCACTTGAAAATGTCATTAAAGCTCTATAGGATTATGTAGATAATTCAGTTAAATAGCAAATATAAACTCTGAGCAGAAATTAGCATCAATCAACTGAATAAATGTAACACTAACTCCTTTGACATTTATAGTCCTCAAAGTAAAGAATTCTAAAGTATCAATTCACTTAAGTCTTAATTTTCCACTAAGGATTAAATGACTAATAAGCAATTGAAGCCCTTCTTGAGGTAATTCTTTATATTCTAATAGTTTTAGTTACCACAATGAAAAATATGAGGGTGAAAAAGTATTCAACGAATTTAACCCATATGCCATTAAATTAGATAAAATATCTAAAAATCAACAAAAGCAAAATGACAATCCTGTCATCACAGATAATAATAATGAATTAACAAATTTGCACAAATTAATAAAGACTGCTGAATAAAAGAAGCGCAATTAATCTCAAGCTTCTGGTCCAAAACCTAGAGCATAGATCAATAAAACTTAGATAAATCTCAACATTAATAACTTCAAAATGTCATTCAGATCATTAGGTAAATATGTAGTTCAACAAGATAACTAGTTCAACCGAGGTTAGGAAAAAAATTACTCCTAGAATATCATCAATGAACTTAAGTAACCGAACTTGAGGACGATTGGACGAGACCTTTATGAACTAGATGCCTAAAGAGAACTAATGCAAAGGGTTGATAAGCTATCTGATAAAGCTCACATCAAAATTTAGAATAGCGATTTTTATGACGGGAGAACAGGGAAGCCTATGAGAATGAGTGATTTAGCTGACCTAAATCTAAATGAACCTGTAACAGATTATCATTAACTTCAGAGCAACAGTATACTACACAATGATGATTTTAGAAGAGTTAAAAGAGGAGATAACTCAGCTAAGTTAAATAAGACTATAGATAGCACGGTCAACTAAAATAGAGATGAAGCATTTTTCACTAGAAGCTACATCAGATCAGCCTTTGATAACCAGATTTAAATTAAGTATGAAAAGAAATAAAAAACAGAGCAAGAATTGTTAAAAGAGAGTTACAGATAGTATAATCAAGAAAGTAAAGATGTGATTAGAGATTATTTCCTCCCGTAAGATCTCCTATAAATAATAATAATAATATAGTTAAGTAAGGGATCTAGATGATTTTGCTTTTGAATAAAAGAGAAGAGAAGAATAAGAAAAGTCAAAAAATGTATCAAAGTTTCTTATAATCATAACTCTTCATTATAGATGCACTTGCTTAATAATGTGATGAGAGAAATATATTATGACTAAGCTCCACCACTTGATAAGGGTTTTCAAAGCGACAAAGGCCTCCAATCTCTTCATGAGGGGATTGTTAAATTGGATGCTGAAAAACTAGTTCCCTTTCACCCTCTTTTTAAGAAAGTTTCACTTTTAGCTGTTAAGGAACTTCTTCTTTACTGTATGTTAATTAGAGTAAGAGTAGGACAAACTCTCTATAAATAGAATGATGATTCGAAAAGCACAGCTTTTATTGTACTTTATGGCAAATTTCTCTTGCATCACTCTAAATATGGAGAAATAGGACTAGTCACAACTGGAGACTCTTTAGGTGAGGAGGGTATATTTGAAAAGAAAGGATTGGATATGATAGTTTATAGATAAGAAATGGCGACTGCTTAAGAAGAATCATTTATATTAGAATTCACTCAGCTCTCAATGGAAAAGATAAAAGAACAACTTTTCAAAGCCAAATTGCAGATTGATTGGTTCACCATTAATAATGCACTTAAGCGAGGTTGGGTTTAAAAAAGAAGTTGGAGATAGTTTAAGGAATAAGAAATTTCTGTTCGTGATAGAATCCTCTGATTACTTGATAATACTGATCATTATATTTTAATCTTTATTTAATAAATCAATCAATTTCGCCAAAGTTTATTCACTACTGACCAATAAGTTTTCTAAGTTCAGGCAGCTTTTCCTTCATTTTTAGGCAGTGTGTATACTCAGGACTAAACTTGATATCATAACTGAATAAACCACTAAGTCTTTTTAAATGAATGAGTCCCCCTTTTATTTTTAAAGCGGCTTCTAATCCTTTAATAATTCCTATTTATGTATTCAAATCAATTTCTCCTGGAATTTTAGCTTTTATTTAAAGATCTAAGAGTCTGTTTTTAATTTCAAGTTCAATAGCAGCTTGTCTAAATTTCATGTATTCTCTCATCCTTACAAATCCTTAAGGCAGTGACCCATCTGCATTCATTCCTATGCTAGCATCAAATTTAATATTAAGCTTAGCATCAAAATTATCATTAACTCCTAGTTTAAGCTTTCCATTTAAACTAGCTTCAAGCATCTCTAATTCATAGTTTGTTCTTATATAGAGCAATCTTAATTCAAAAATAGAGATTTCTTTGTAAAAATCTAAGCTGACAATATTTTTGAGATCAAGTAGTGGACGTATACCTTCCATTATATCAACTAAAATTAAAGTTAATGTGATTAAACTTACGATTCCCTGAACAGCAGCAGCAAATTTTACTGCAACAACTAGTCTGAGCACATTTGCCCTTGCAAAATGCTGTGCAGCTTGAGATGCATTTCTTAAAGCATGCAGTGATATTGCAACACTTTGAAAGGCAAGCAGTGCATGATGTGGCCAGCTTTTTAAAGCAGTTACAATTACAAGTTTTTTTGCATGACTAATAGCAACTGTACAAGAAAGTACCTAGCACAACTAGAAGCAAAATCAAAGTCACAGCAACAAACATAACAACAAATAGTAGAATAGAATGAGTAGCTTCAAATCTTTTTGAATCAAAGATAATATCAATGAATGGTATCTATAAAACAGTTGCTGTAACTGAAGCCTTGAAACCATCAAAATCAGGTAGTCCACAAACCTTTCCAAAAAGCAGATTATTACTAATCATCATAAATGCTATGACCAAATGGAAAAATACTCCAACTATCATTAGAGTTCTTACGTAACTTGCCAGAAGCTTGTCCCCAAGTGGAGGTAATTTATAATGTCTCAAGACTATGTAGATATGATAAACCAAAATGAGTCTTACAAAGATATTTATCAATCCAGTAAGTAAAGAGGAAAGAAAGAAATCCAACTACATAGAATAATGGCATTCCGAATGAAAGAAAGAGACATGCGTAGAATGTTGTCAGTAAAGTAGCATATCTTCCTTCAAATTACAACTCAGGACCCATGTAGAGAGCCTCATAGTCTTCTTATATGATCATTTTAGTTTTTCTAAGGTCAGTAGTGCATCTTCTATCGCAGCATTAAGAGATCTTTTTGACAAGGTAAAACCCGAAATTGATAAAATTAGGTGAGACGATATTGATAATCATTGTCAGTAACTATAAAATTATTGGTAACAAAGCGTCTTTACCAAGGTAGTTCCAACTGTTCTATAGAATTCTGGAGTGAAATCAGTATATCTTCCAGAAAAGATTACAAAGTTATCCCCAAAAATAGGTTTAGGTATCTTGTATAACTTTCCATTCAACTCAAAATCATATGTCCCTAAAATTTAAGATAAAAATATTGCTTACTATCTATCCTCCAATTGACAAGAATCAATATCATCACAGTATTTACAAACTAAATCAAGAATATTTTTATCATAACTGAGAAAGATCTAATTCCTACAGTCTTTGGTTTTTCAAAATAGGTGATATATCTCAGTATCCCCTTTACTAAAATATTGCATGCTACTATGATGAAAGCAATCACATAAACAAACATGTTACTAATAGCATAATCAAATGCCCATTCTTTACAATAGTAATTTCCATCACTAAACTTTATGCTAACTACATCTTACCCCACGCTTTTGAATTATTGAAGGCAATAGCAGTGGAGATAATTAAACGAAGTTGAAGTTTAAATCAAAGCTTGCTGTTCTTGATAAATGACCTGGGCTTAAGTATAAGTCAGGGTACCACAGTCCATATTCATATTGTATCTCAGCTACACCTACTTTTCAAAATCTTTAGCATAAATAATGGCGATGAATGATCCTGCCATCAATATAATGCTAACAATAGCTATTAAGAACCTCCTCCAGAAGGTATTACATTTTGAGTATCTTAAGTTAACCCAAAGGAGATTAGCTGGATCAGGAGCAGTTAGCATAACAGGTAGTTTCCCAAAAAATAGTTTAGCTTTAACTGATGGCCTATTTTTCCTACATTTAAAGCAAAGCTTATCAGGAACACTGAGACCGAAACCAGATAAGAACCTTATCATATCAATCATACTTCTGAATTAAATGAAGGCACAAAGTCCCAGCTGCATATTATTCTTCATCCACAAGTCATAAGTCTCTAATCTTGCTTTTATTTTCAATTTTAAACCTTCAATTTACTTTTCAATGTTTGCTTTGATTTGTGGGCTTTAGATTTTTGGTAATCTTAACATATTGAGCTTAATTTGTTTGTAGAAAAGATTAAGATAGCAGAGGTGGATAATATAGTCGTAGTCATTCAATCCCATCGTTATATCTACTATTCTGTTTTTCTTTGCTTTCTCTGCTCTAGGATCGTTTTCACTTTAATTATTCAAAGCTACATCCCTGATTACTCTTGGTATTACCTTACTATTCTCATCGACACCATCTGCTTCAAAGCTTTGCAATCTTTTGTCCTCTTAATCAACTTTGGGGTTATTTACAGGGGAAGTCTTGTCATTCGGATCGTCATCGTTTTCATCATCAAGTCTTTTAAGTTAGTTTTCAGTCCATTCCCAAATCTCCCCTTTCATGTGATGTACATTCTAATGCTCAGGTATTCCTGATAACTAAACAGTGAAATTGGCTGCATTAATCGTAACTCCTTTTATCTCTATGTTCTCAATCTTCATAAGACATTTGTAAATTATCAATGATACACCAAGCAGCACTGCAAAGATGACATCAAATATTGCAATGATAATAGCTACTTTGTCCTTGGTGAGAATCCCTGAATCAAAACTAATGCTAGTTACTGCACATTAGGCCTGCATATAAAATCACTAAGTTCCAGTAAAATTTTAACAAGCTGTTGGAAGTTTATTTAGTTCAAATGAGATATTGCACGTTTACTTGTCTTGGCAAGAGTTTTTATAAGTTTGAATCGTATAGTCAAAATAGGATTTGTCGAATTCACTCATATTGCAGGCATTGTCATAGTAAATATTTTTGTCTTTATTGCAGGATGAAATCGAAGTCTCATTGTCTCTGGCGTAATCTTATCCAAATCCCTTCAGATCACATAAGACACCTTGCTCACAAGACAAATAAAAATCTACAGCCATATCATTTGCCTTGACTACTTGATCAAAATTGCAAGCCATTGAGTTTTCACCCATATATGCTAACGATAATCCAGATAGATAATACTTCAACCCTATGTTATTTATATTTATATATGAATGATACCTGTTTGATCATTAGTGCCACCACCAGCAGAATACAAAACAAACATGGGGATGTTTATGATGCTTGCCATCGTAAATAAGATTACCAAGAATTTCAGCATTTTAAAGTAGAGAGTAATACCTATACCATACTGATGGATATCACTTTGCCTGCAAGGTCTGCAACAGCAGTGCCAACCAGTTTTAGTTTTGCAGAATGGTCTTTGCTGATACTCTTTTTTGCCGCCTAAAAAAGCAAAGTTAATTTTAGATCATCTAATCATTTAAGATTATCTTACCTCTTCCCTCAATCTCGAGTCTTGGATGATTCTAATCAACTACCATCATCATTTTGGAATAGCTTAGGTCATTCTGAGCATCTACATCAAATATCTAGGTCGTACCTTTCCTAAGAAGGCCACCAGCGGGCAAGTCGTCATCATCTTCGTGCTGGAACTCTTCATCATCATGATTTAGAGTCTAATCATGCCCATTGTGATCTCTTTCGAAGTCTAATTCATTGTCATGATCATGATCTCCAGAGACTCCGTATATGTCGTTCCGAGACTAGGGCACTTTCTTGACAGTCTCCTGCCTAAATCTGTTTTAGCCTGGAGCGTCTTTAAAGGATTCTAATTTTAGATCGTTAGCGTCCATCTAATTAATCTTTGTTTTTATCTTTATTTTTAATCTGCAGACTAACTATGTGCTTACTCTAAGATACTTGATATTAACAAAACATTTAATTAGATACTGAAATAAAAAGTCAAAAGGCAATAATCTTAAATCAATAACTCTTTTAATCACCTTATTAGTCTTTGAGGGGTTTTGGGGTTTTGGGGTTTTGGGG